GGCCTGCCCTCCATGGGGCCCACAGGGCATCAGGAATCAACACTGCTTTCCCTCAGAATCCAGGAACATCCGGAAGGGCCACACCCTCCATGGGAGAGGAACTGGGAAATAAACTGCCCGTCAGCACAGGTAATCAACAAAGAAGCCGTTCCATCTTCACCCCAACTCCAAGCACCTATAAGCAAGGACCTGAAGCTGATGTTCCATTTTTCAAAAATCCACCTGGTCAAGAAGTTGGCAGGAAAAGTGGTGCCGGGCTGGTGATGCCCTGGAGTGTTTAGCAAAAGCTCTCCCAAAACCATCCCAATTCCAGGGTGCCCCAGAAGCACACAGACAAAACACTGCTAAAGACTTAGCAGAGAAAAAGGCAGCAGGTCAGCAGGTGCACCAGACGGCAGGAAGAGCCCCAAGACCCTGGCGTCACGGGGTAATCTGGTAGCAGCCGTGTAAGAATGTTAAAAATGATCCTAAATCTAAACCTAATAAAAAAACGTAACGCTACAGAAAACAGGCAGATGTGAAAAAGAACCAATCAGAACTTCTAGAAATGAAAAGTGAAACTATAAAATAAGACTCAACGGATAGGCTGAACAGCAGACCGGACGCAGCAGAAGAGAAATTTAGTGAAGTGGAAGAGGAGCTAAAGCAGCTCTGCAGAGGACAGCTCAGAATTCAGATGACGGGAAGGAAACCAGGTGTTCCTGTGTCTACCGGGGACTCAAGGGGAGAAGAGGCAGGAGAGGGGGCCACAGTCAGAGAGACTTGTGACAGTGGGGGTGACGACAGTGGGGGTGACGATGGTGACGGTGGGGGTGACGATGATGGTGGGGGTGACGGTGATGGTGGGGGTGATGATGGTTCATGGTGGGGTGACAGTGGGGGTGACGGTGGTGACAGTGGGGGTGACGGTGGTGATGGGGGTGACAGTGGTGATGGTGGGGGTGACGGTGGTGACAGTGGTGGTGACGGTGGTGATGGGGGTGACAGTGGTGATGGTGGGGGTGACGGTGGTGACAGTGGGGGTGACGGTGGTGACGGTGGGGGTGGTGGTGACGGTGGGGGTGACGGTGATGGTGGGGGTGATGATGGTTGATGGTGGGGGTGATGATGGTTGATGGTGGGGTGACAGTGGGGGTGATGGTGGTGACGGTGGGGGTGATGGTGGTGACGGTGGGGGTGATGGTGGTGACGAGGGTGACAGTGGAGGTGACAGTGGTGACGGTGGTGACAGTGGGGGTGACGGTGGTGACAGCGGGGGTGACGGTGGGGGTGATGGTGACGGCGGGGGTGACGGTGATGGTGGGGTGACAGTGGGGGTGACGGTGGTGACGGTGGGGGTGACGGTGGTGACAGGGGTGACAGTGGTGATGGTGGGGGTGATGGTGGGGGTGATGATGGTTGATGGTGGGGTGACAGTGGGGGTGACGGTGGTGACGGTGGGGGTGACGGTGGTGACGGTGGGGGTGACGGTGGTGACGGTGGGGGTGACGGTGGTGGTGATGGTGACGGTGGGGGTGACGGTGATGGTGGGGGTGATGATGGTTGATGGTGGGGTGACAGTGGGGGTGACGGTGGTGACAGTGGGGGTGATGACGGTAGCGATGGGCTGGTAGTGGGAGTGATAATGGCAGGGGCGTGAGTAGGGTGATGGTGGAGGTAACGAGACAGAGCAGAGCTGGCTAAAGACACAGAGCTCCCTTCCCTGGAGGAGAGGTGGGGTGGCGGGTAAAGGGTACCGGGAAAACACAGGCAGGCTCATGTTTTGGGACACTGGAGTGTGACCAGGTGCTGGTAACAGGGTCTGTGGTCCTGGGAAAGGTGCCCAGTCACCCCTGCGTACCTGCAGGCAGAGCCACGCTCAGTCCACACCCAGGTGCGGTGAGTCAGGGGACAGCAATGTCTTCGCCGCAGGCCAAGGCAAGCCCAGCTCCTGGCCCTTCCTCTCCCTGAGGCCCATTTGGCTGCCTGGCGGGTTCCACTCCCAGCTGTCATGAGCTGTGCCCCCACCTTGGCACTTAATTTCCCAGGACAATTTAGCTGTGCTGGAGCTCAGCAGCCTGAAACTGTGGGGGCAGCGCCTGGTGCCCAGGGTGGGTCCCCAGTGCTCACGGCTCCTGGCGAACGGCCCAAGTCCTCTGGATCAGGTGACTGTGTCACTCCCCCACTCAGACCCGTCAGCCACAACCGAAGGGGCTGGGAGTTCCCGCCTCCACTCAGCACGGGCCGTGAGAATGGGGGCGAGCCTCTGTCCTACGTGGGCTCCACCGCCTCCCCACCTCCCCTGTAAACCGAAGCATGGACAGAGCAGTAAGATCCCAGCAGAAGGCAGGGGCAGGTCCTAATCCAAGTGCATGCGGTTGGGCTACTGGCTTTTGGGCACTGGTGAGCCCTGGCGGCTCTCTACTGGGGGATCCAGGGGCCTCGTCACTCACTCACTCGCTCTGGATGAGCCCTGGTGGCTCTCTACTGGGGGATCCAGGGGCCTCGTCACTTGCTTGGCCTCGGCTGCGCCACTCTGGGCAGCTTCAGTCCAGCCCTGGCCGGCCCAGTCACCCTCAGGTGTTACCCTCTGGCCACCACCACGCTGGGTACTGGTTCACACGTTTCCCAGCTGCCTCCCTCAGAACAGGTGCTCCTGAGGCTGGCTGGGGTCCCAGCCTGTGTTTCCAGTCCCAGGAAAAGGGCCCGGTGTGTGCTGGGCGCTCAACACACAGCTGCTGGCTGAAGGAACAAACAGAGGGAGGGAGGGAAGGACGGACGTGCCCCGGGGCTGCTGCCCGGCCCTGCCTCCCTGACTGAGGAATGTACAGGTGCCAGCACCAGGGCTGCTGCCTTCTCCGTGAGGGGCTCCTGGGAGGGGGAAGCTGTGCAGTGCCCTCGGCCGCCCCCAAAGGCAGCGCACTGGGCACGGCAGATGGGGGGTGTTGGCCGCCCTAACCCTGCTGTCCCTGTCCTGGGCCATGGCCCCTGCTCGGTTGAAGGGAAGGTCAGGGCTGGGGGCAGCAAAGAAGTTGTCTGTTGTGTCCTGAAGGGTCAGGAGAGCTGGGGGGAACCCCCAACATGAATGAAGGCTGCCTCAGCAGGTAGTGGGCACCTGCCCATTCTGGGGGACCAGCCCCGCCACTGACCCCCCCCCAGGGCCCCAGGGGTCTGCTATGGTGGAAAGGCAGCTGGCCTGGGGATATGGAGAGCCTCAGCTCTGCTGGCAGCAGGGTAAGGCCCCCCCAAACCAAGACGGGGCACCCTGGGGAGGCTGCCCATGGCCCTGGCCTCCACATCACTGCACAGACAAGAAAACCGAGGCCCACGGGGCGGCAGTTGGTTCAGGTCACACACAGAGCAGGGTCGTCGTGGGCCATGGAACCAGGTCACCCACTCTCAGGTTAGTAGGGGTGACAAGGGCAGGCAAGGAGCTGAGGACCACAGCTGAACGGGGCCACACCAGCACGGGGCCTCACCTGAACGGGTCCGTGGGGTCTTTGGCGTCGCAGACATCCGCGTGGCCATGGCAGACACAGCGGCCCCCGATGCTGATGTCCTTGATGCTGTAGTAATACTGTACGCAGGCCCTGTGAGCGCCTGGTGGCCGGGCCTCACCCACCCCAAGTCCCGGGTCCCCCAGCAGCACCCCCGCCCCGCCTGGGCCATGGGTGGCTCACCCGGCGGGTGACCGTGGGGTCCCGCAGCGCCTTGCCCATGAGGTGGCCCAGCAGCGTGTTGGTGCGCAGGAAGCGCAGGCGGATGTTGGTGGCCTTGGTGAAGTCACGCAGCAGTGGCGAGTAGGAGAAGTTCATGGCGCCAGGGCGCCCGTTCACCAGGGACACCACGATCTGCGGGCAGCACATGGTGAGGCTGTGCGTCCAGCCCCTGAGCCCCCAGGCCCCTCGCCGCTCTGCCCCTGCCGGGCCCATCTCCCCGTTCTCCAGCCCCGTTTGGTGCTGCCCCACCCCGGCCCACCTCTCTGCCCTCCAGCCCCGCACTGCCCTGCCCTGCCCACCTCTCCGTTCTCCAGGGGCACGATTCTCGAGTACTCGGTGGTGCAAATGGCCGCATCGTCCCGCGTGATGCGCTCCAGCGTCTGCGGCCCAAACCGCTCCAGGCAGTCCCTCTTGGAGGCTTCAGGGAACGGCGGGAGTGGAGAGTGCTGGGTCCCAGGAAAGCCTGGGCCCCCACAGTGCCCCAAGCCCCTTGACATCTCTAGGCCTCGCCCCTGAGCCTCCCACGAACCAAGAGACAGTGTGGCAGAGACCACAGCTCGCTGGCTGGGGAGGGCCTGGCCCGTCGGACTGCTCTACCCCCACCACTCTCCCCAGAACGCTTTGAGAACGAGTGACCCACCTCATGACCATCCTCACCTCCTTCCTTGGGGACAGACCCCTGCTGCTCATTACTGACCTGCCCTTCCCCATTCTCAGGCCAGGGAATTTTGGGGGACATGTGACCAGGCCTGGCCTATGGGGGAGGAGCACCCACTCCCGCTAGCGTGACTGGTCAGGGTGGCACAGGGCCAAGGATGGCCAGCGTGCAGGTGCTAGGACTCCAGCGCTCCTGACATGGGCTAAGCTGGCAGCAGGCGAGCAAGGCAGGAGCCACCAGGGCCCTTTTGTCACCATGGGGAGCTGCAGCCCGTGAAGCCATCCAGAGGCAGCTGAGAGATAGCACCAGAGATTCCTGGCGCCACAGCCCCTGGACCTGGCTGTGCCCGATATCAGAGACGGGAGCCAATAAATTCCCCTGAGCCTTCGGGTCCTCGGCTGACGGTCCTGATCGAAGCAGCCGGGAGCCAGGGCAGGGCTGGGCGTTCGGAGACCTTGAGAAGCCTGGCCATGGAGGCCCGTCCAGGGACCCCCAGCACACCTCACCCCAGACCCCCTTGGCAGCTGAGACTCACAGGCGAAGAACTGCCAGGCCTGGTAGGTGCGGCCGAAGTCCATGGACCGCTCCAGCACCCAGAGGTCCGGCCGGGGCGAGTTGGCGAACTTGATGAGGACGTAGGCCACGTGGAAGACCTGCAGGGCCGAGGGCGTCAGGGCACCTGCCACCCCCACGCTCCCAGGGGCCCGGCTCGTTTTCTACCCCTCAGGTGAGGCCACAGCAAGGGATGTGGCATCCTCGCCACACAGGGCAGATGCACGAGGGGAGAGGGCGCCGCAGGTTGGAAGTGAGCCTCCGGGAACCAGCCCTCATGGAAGGGCTCCCCGCCTCCTCCCCTCCCTGCCCAGGAGCTCAGGGTCCCTCTGGTCCTTTAAGCTCTGTGGTTCCACAGGCAGGGGGACTGGTCAGGGTGGGGACAGGAACACAACCCAGTGTCCCCACAGCCCTCATGCCCAGGCAGGCCCAGAACTAGACAGTGGTCCCCACCACCAAGCAAGTCCAACCCCTAGTGCCTCTGACAGGTCAGCTGCTCCTGGGATGGGGCCTCTGCCACCACCTCACGCAGGGCACCCCTGCCCACGGCAGAGGGAAGCTGCTCCTCCCAGTCCCCCAAAACGCCAAGCCCCAGCCCCAGCCCGGCCCTGGCTCTGCCCACTGTCTCCCCTGCATCAGCCCGACTTCCACCCAGGGATGGCCCAGGTGTCTGTGCCCTGGGGTTGAGGGGAAGCCTGGCTCAGCCTTCACAGGGTGCTTTGTACACCTCCTCAGAGAAGCCTTCCCTGACCCCAGTCCCTCCCCACAACCCTCAGCAGGGACATGTCCCCAGGCCTGCTGGCTTCCCTCAGGCCTTTGCTCAGGTGGGGTTTCCCTCCCTCCCCAGCCCAGCCCCACAACCCCCACCCCTGCCCTGCCCTTAGGACCCCAGGCCGGAGGCCCCCTGCCCCCAGCAGTCAGTGCTACTCTGCGCCCACCCAGCATGACCATGGCCCTCCCTCCATGCCTGCATCTGAGGTGTACACACGCCCACCAGCCCAAGGGTGAGACACCGTGGGGTGGCTCCTCCATGAGCACAGGCCACAGGCCCCCTCTGTAAAGGTCTCTGGTCCTTAAAAACAGCCCATGACCTCAATGGCAAGAGGATGCACCCCAGAGCAGAGGGGTCCGGACGTGCACAGGCGGGGCGGTGCCAGGCAGGACCCCACCTTCAGGCCCCTGCAAGCCAGGGCTTAGGGCTCAGGGCTCAGGGCTCAGCCTGCCGCACCAAGTACCCCCACCTCCACATCCTCTCTGGGGCCCTAGGCTCCCCTACAAAGGGGCGAGGGAGGGAAGCTGTGTCTAGGACGTCACAAGCCTGGAGGCTCCAAGGCAGAGTGAGCCTCTCCCTGGCCCCTGTCTCCACCAGCCCCCCACACACCAAGGGGAAATGGCTTTTTTCAGGCAGAGGCTCCACAGGGGCCAGCAGGGAGGTGGGGAGAACACGAACGTCCACCGCCCATCTGCACAGGGAGCCTGGATGCTGGGGAGAGAGGCCACTCATGGACCCACAGCACGGGGTGGCCTGCCTGCCCCACCTGGCGCCTGGGACTCGGGGGCCCTGGCCCACACTCCCCCTACAGGCCTGCAGGGTCCGAGATGGAGCCCTGGGGACCTCAGTACTCAGCCCAGCTCCTCTCGGGCAGCAGTGGGGACCAGCCCCTCCTCTGCTCACAGGCAGGCCCCCAGGTGGACCCTGAAAAGGCCAACAGGCCTCTGAGCCTCACGCCACATGCCAGGGTCACCCACTGAACCTCCTCAGGGCTTGACCCGCCGGTGCCAGCTCTTCCAGAGGGCTTCTGGGTGCAGTCAGCCGCCAGGTCTGGGAGCCTAGGGTCCCATGGGGGAGAGAGGGGTCCCCCAGAGCTGCACGAGACTTACAGTCACCCCACGGGACTGAGCTGGACTGAGACTGCTGTGTGCTGTGGGGTCCCCCATTGAAAGACCACAGACCCTCAGCTTCAGCCTCGGGGCAGCACCAGCTGCCGAGACTCCAGCAGGGGGGCAGGGTCCCAGGACTCCAGACACGCTGGGTCTGAGTCCCGCCTTCTTGGAGGGCTTGGCGTTGTAGGGCCTGTGGGGGCCAAGCGCAGCCGTCCCGGATGGGGGCAGGTCCCGGGCCTATTCACCAGCTGCCAGGCTGTGAGGTCATCATCCATTTCCCTGTCACGGTGGGGAGCATGGAGACGTGCCCCGTCCAGTGCAGACCCTAACCCAGCCCCACACCTGGGCCTCACAGCCCCCCATGGGCCTGACCACAAGCGTCTCAGAGAGCCCTGGGGGCGGGGCAGTGCCCCGGTGCCCGGACAGGGAAGGGTCTGCTCAAGGTGGACAAGGGCACAGACACAGGCTGCTCTCGGGGAGCTGGGAGCACAGACCCTCCCATCAAAGACTCCTGAGACTAAAAGTCCTAACTGAGCCCCGGGGAGCCGCCCCCGCGGTTCCCTCAGCGCCCGGAGGCTGCGCCCTCCTTGCCCGGACCCGCCCTCCCCTCCCTTCAGCAGCCCGGTCACATTTTTCCCAGCTGAGAGCACTTGCACAAATATTGACTCGAAAACACTGATCGGCAGGACGAGGGGGACACAAGCTCCGCCCCTCCCCACCCTGGGGCTCACGGGAAGACCCTGGCCTCCTGTCTGTCCCCTGACCCAATCATCTGTCTGTCAGGGGCCCTGGACAGCTGTCCTTGAGGGCCTGGTGGCTGCACAGATGCTTAGGAAGGGAAGCCGGCGCTCAAGGGCTCCCATCTGTCTCCACCCTGGCTGTGGCTCCCGGGGCCACACCAGCCACCCTCGGCATGACCCGGAGCGGGCGCAGACCCCGGCCTGTGGGACCGACCCTTCCCCCTCCACGCCCCACTCAGCTCGGCGGCCAGCGCTGACCTTTCCGCTGCTGCATAGTTCTATGCAGAAGGAAAAAAAAATTCTTTTAAAGCAAAAGCCAAACAAAGCTGCCTGAGTTATTTTTAAAGATCTGGCTATTTTGGGGCAGGCACGTCTCCAGGACGGCAGCCGGACCCGCCTCTCAGCCAGGCACCCCCCGGTCCCCCCGTACCCAGCCTGACCTGGGAGGGCCACGGCACCCAGAGGAGGCCTCTGCCCGGTGACCACGGCCTCACAGGGGGTCGGTGCGAGCCCCAGGAGCACAGGGCCTGGGCAGTGGGGCCCGGGTGGGCTCCAGGCTTCAGGGGCTGTGTGGCCCTGGGGCGAACACTTCCCCTCGCTGGGCACAGGGCAGAGGGAAGAGGTGCGGAGGGGGCACCGGGATCAAATGCCTTTCGTGAGGGCATGAAGGTTCCAGAGCCCCGGAAGGGAGGACGCCAGCTTCTCCTAGAGGGCAGGCAGCTGCCAACCAGCAGAGACACCCCGAAGGCAAAGCTGGGGACGGAACTGAGTAGGGGCTGGGGTCTGGGCAGCATGGTGAGGACTGGCGGAGCCTCGGGGGCCCTGGTGTGGCCTGCTGGGGTGGCGTGGGGCTGTTGGCCAGCAGCCTCCTGGACTGAGGCACCCACCTCACCATGGGGTGGGCTGTGGCTGGTGGGCTCTGCCCTGGTCCATCTTGTGCTGGGGAGACCAGGGCCAGGCCCAGGTGCCTGCTGTGAGGCCACTGCTGGGGGGTGAGGGCCAGTCCAGCCTTCCCCAGCGGCCTGGATCATAGTGGTCTGTGACTCAGGCCTAGCCCTGCAGGAAGAAGGGACCTGTGCCAATTCCTGGGGCAGGAAGCTCCTCCTAGCCCCAGGCGTCCAGACCAGCACCATGACCTCGCTGCTCAGATAGGGCACTGGGGTACCCAGCCCCCTCTATCGACGCCCGGAGTCCTGACCAGCCCAGCCCTTGCCCGCTCCCACCACCTGTCTCCCTCGCAGAGACCCCATCTGGAAATGAAGATAAGCCCCACAGCAGGGGCAGGGCTGGCGGCAGCGGATAAGCACAGCATCCACACAATCTATCTGGCAGGTCACACGCCCTGAGGACACCGCTCCCAGAGGGATGCAGACTGGAAAAGCCGGGGCTTCCCACAGCAAGCCCAGCAAGCCCCCCACTGGGGAAGTAAAATAAAGACAGCAGAGCTCCAAGGCCAGAACCCCGACTGGGGCTGGACGCCGCCACGCCCAACTATGGGCGACTTGAGCAGCACAGGGCAACTGCAGGGGTGGGCAGGGGACAGGAGCCTCCGGCTGGAGGGGGGACTGGAGGTGGGGGTGGGCGGGGGATAGGAGCCCCCGGCTGGAGGGGGGACTGGAGGTGGCGGTGGGCGGGGGACAGGAGCCCCCGGCTGGAGCGGGGGACTGGAGGTGGGGGTGGGCAGGGGACAGGAGCCCCCGGCTGGAGCAAGTCCCTGGAGTCCCAGCCAGGGGGCTGCCCCGCACCTCAACAAAGCTAGGCCTGGGTGGATTCAGTGACCCCAACTACTGCAGCCCGAGCTCGGGGCTCCCCACTGCAGCCTGACCCAGGTCAGGCCTGATGGTCAGCTGCGGACAGGAAGCGGCAATGATCCCAAGGGGACCCCTCGGCCTGAAACCCAAACAGTTTAGTCTCCGCTGAGCTGTATTGTCAGAGGCCGATGTGGTGGGTCTTGTTTACAAACAGATAGAAAACAGGAAGCCTTTCGGGGCTGCCAGGGCCGGGGGGTCCAGATGGTGCTGGGGCATCTCTGTGCCCAAGTGCCAGGTCTGGCAGTGCAGCCACCAAGGGCCAGCATAGCAACAGGGGTGTGGGGAGAGGAGCAGCTCCAGCCCCACCTGGCCCGGCAGCCCCTCGGACCACGTCCTCCTTCCAGGAGGGGTAGAAGGAGGGTCTCGCATCTATCCTGTGCCAGGGGAGGGGAGTGGTGCCTCCTGGGACCCCCCACTGTCCTCCCGGGAGTCCTGCTCCAGCAGCTGTCTGGCCCAGCCCGTGCACCTGTCCTGGATGCCACACCCTGTAACCAGAGCCTGGCCGAGGCTGCACTTCCTGTCCTTCCCTGGACAACTCGCTGACCGTCCTGGGGCACTGACCACATGGCTGAGTGCCCAGCCAGGCCCCGGGAGCCAGGCCAGTGGCACCCTGGACCAGGAGGCCTGCCCAGGGCCCAAGCCGGCCAGCCAGAGGGCAGGCAGGCCTGAAGGGCAAGGCGGCCAGGGCATGCTGGGCCTCCAGCAGGTGTGCTCCGCCATTGACAGAGGAGGAACCAGCCTGGGAACCAGACTCCAGACAGCACGGCCGACCCCGAGTCCTCCAGACCCCAGCACCGGGACCTTGGGCCCACCACACTGTCCCTGACCCTCTCGAAACTCACAGTCCAGTAGCCATAACTTCAGCAGAGCTCTGCCTCCCCGTTCCCCCACCCGGAGGGTGCAGCTGACTGCCTCCCCTCCCCATCCCTGCCCCGTCCACTCTGGCCTCACACAGCTCCCCAGCATTCCCCAGGGCACAGGCCCTCACCTGGCATCCTCACCCCCCACCAATACTTCCGGCCTCATGCCCGACGACCCCCCTACATTCTGCTGGCCCCAGTTCCCCACACCTTGACCCCGACCTAGGCCCCCCCATTTGCCCCGAAGCTCTGGGCCTGGGGTTGGGACAAAGCCTTGCCCCAGCTGTGGCAGCTGCACTCCGGCCTACTGCAGCAGAGAACAAAGCGGGGCCTCCCTGGAGGAAGGGGCGGAAAGGGGCCAGAGCACCCTCACTCCTCAGCTAAGGGAGATGGGAGGCATGCCATCCTCTGCCGGGGAGAGCCCTGCCCCCACACTCAGGCCACCCAGGAGCCTTCTGGAGGGTGGGGGGCACAGGCCAGAGCCAGCCCCACTCACTCCTGCCCAGCTCCTTACACCCTGGGCCCCATGGCTAGCGTGCTGGTGTGGCTGATGTAGCAGGCAAGAGGCTGGACCCTACGGCAGAGCCAGGGAGTGGGGGCATCCAAGCCGGGACCCACTGGCCATGTGCCTGGGCCTGGGAGATCACAAACGTGCTCACCCTTCCCTGGGCCTGGGGCCTGGGTGTGGTTCTGGGAACAGGGAGCCTGAGGCCAGTGACGTCACCACTCAGCTCCAGAAGCTTCCGGAGGACACAAGGAGATACGCAAGAACCCCGCCAGAAGTACCCCCCGGGCAGGTCAACTCGGAAACTGCCCCCTGAGTCACCAGTGACCAGTGCTGGAGCCTCTTCCTGAGGCCCCACCCTTGGAGAGAAAACCCTCCACGGCTGGGTGCAGCTGGACTCAGGCCAGGAGCCCAGCTGGCACTCCCAGGGGCGCAGGCTCAGCCGTCCCTGGTGGACAGCACAGGAACAGCCTCCCCCTCCCACTCTGCTGCGCCAGCCCCTGCCCCGCCACACACCAGGGGCGTGAGACCCGAACCAGGATGCAGCCCACCCCACCCTCAGCCTTCCAGGAGCAGGAAGGCTTCCCGATGCCCAGGGTCAGCCACCCCCACCCCCTCCCGGGGCATCCGCTCCAGATCCCATAACAAAGGCTGCTGGCAGCCCACTGCAGGGGGAGTGCCCGGACCCAGCCGCCGGTCAGCCTGGCTTCCTAATGGAAGCCCCAGCTCTGCCCCAGGGTCAGTCCCGAAGCCCAGGAAGCACATTTCACCACCAACCAGGGACCAGGGACGTCTCCCCACCCAATTCCAGGACTCCTGGCCCCCACCCCAACCAAGGCTGGCAGCCCCTTGGCCCAGGCCGAGACAGGGGCCCTGGTGGATACATCCACAGAGTCAGGAAAGCAGCTGAGAGGAAGGAAGGAAGATGGTACAGGTGTGGAGGGAGGAATGAGACAGTCGGACAGATGGAAGCAAGGAAGAAAAGTGGGGGGCTGGGTAGGTAGGTGGGGGTGGGTGGAAGGATAGGTGGGGGGGTGGGTGGAAGGATAGGTG